TAGTTTTCGTAAAAGAATCTTATGTGTTTGATTTTATTGCTGGTTTTGTTAAACTTTACTGCTCTTTTATACCTATATGTGACTTTGTCTTAAATTTCTATTTATGAGTACGTACTGAATGGCACATGTGTTGCTTGTCTTTATTATTTTAAGTTTTGAAAATACACAACATTTTGTTTGGCGCAATACAACCTCTAATGGGTTTTGTGCCAAAAAACTTTTAACTAACGTGCCATACCTCCGGAATGCATCTCAGTGCCAGGCTAACTCTATAAATTCTCGTTAGCACTGGGATCAAGATTTCCTCTACCTTTTGGATCATGATGGGCATTATTCCATCAAGTCCACAGCTTTTGAGCATTTTGAAGGTGGGTATAGCCCACCTAACATTATTATTATGATTTAGGATATTTTTACCATAGGTCCATTTTTACCATAGGTCTGCAATAAACTCTCTATTTCAGAAAGAACAAATATCACATTCTTCCATTCTCGCCTCCTGTTAATTCTTCAGAGTGTAGCTTTTTTTGTGGCTATGTATGGTGTAGAAAGAAGAGTTTCCAATTCTGAAAGATAATTTCACAGTCTGTTAGTGAAACATTAAGGTTATCTACAAATTCTAAAAAAAGTTCTTAATTCTAACAACCTCTATATCATCAAATGTGTACTTCCTCATCTGGTTTGCTTGATCATTAATTGCACCTTTTCTTGCTCGCTTCCTAAGAATGGCATCAATTTGGGGAGCTCTTGCTGCTATTGCTGCTTACCTAAATTTACCAGTGAGATTTGTAACTACTAAATCAGTTAAATCACTAATGGTAAATATCACATCCATCCTCTTCCTCTCTTATATTTATTAATATATCAGTAAAATAGAAAATAACTATTTATTAATGTATGTAATCCATAAATAAAAATAATAACTCTGTCATTAATGTTTTTTTCCAATTCACTTTAATTTATTTCAAATTCAAACTGTCCAACAAAAACTGGAGTCAGAGTCGACTTGTTTTAAGTGACTTCAGCTCTGACTCCTTTTACCTCAAAATCTGCCCAACTTCAATTCCGACTCCAGCTCCACAGCCCTAGCCACGGCACAAGACTTTAAAATAAGCAATGGTGGTGTAATGTTTCTGACATGCTATATCCGCAATTTGTATATCTTTATTATTTAACTAAATAAAGAGTAATTCTGTTTGAACTTCTCTCAGAATGATTGACAACATCTCTTCCAGCTTAATTCCCCAAATTGCAGTTAATAACATTATTGCCAATATGGAAGTATGTTATGATGAGTGTTTGTAAGTGAGGGAAGCTTACATTCTGTATTAAACTCTCATTAATCTCCTTGTAACATATCATTACCAGTTTTATTGTTTCACACTATAGTTTTATACCATATGCAGTGCTCTTAAATTTTTTACTTTGTATTTCTGTGTTGTGATGCTAAATATCATTCTTCCCAAATTCATAAAATTATAACTAACAGTTTGTAAGAAATCATGCAAGTAAAGGTAATTTTGAACATGAGTAACATTTTGAACATTTATAATGCACCTATGTAGATTAAATTTTTGCAATGAAACCTTTGACAAATTATTCATTTGTATGTAGAATTAAATATTTTTTCCATAAGTTCATTTAAAACAGTTATTTTTTGAAACTTTGGTCTACTGATTGAAATCAAGATTTTGTATAAAATAGCCAGACTCTGAGAAAGCTCTCACAGATTCTACATGTGTTGTCTCGTACTTGCAAGGAAATTGTTTGCTGTTTAAATAGTTAATATGTTAAATAGTTTTGGAGATGACAGTAACTCTAGTTCTTAATGACTTGATTAAAGCTTTTCTTTTAGTTCATCCTAGAACTCTTTGGCTTGGGTCATAATTATGAATTGAAGCGTTTTGTGTATTGATAAAGTAGGAATAGTTGGAATTATAAAAATTGAGTTTGAAAAATTTTTGGAATCAGACTCGCACATTATTTTTGATAATTCAGTGGCATATGTTCTGTTTGTTGAATGTGCCATATGTTGTTGTCATTCTACTTTTTTTTTTAATTTTCATGATCATTTCTTAACTGGTTTCATTTAAAATTTCATGGATTTTTACCCAATTTGATTTTTGAAAGTAATCTCAAAAAGATATTAAGAGAACATCAAATTAAGTTGTTATCCCTAATTTTATGTGATGTGTCGAAGAATTCTTAAGTTCGTAACTTAAAACCTATTTTGAATTGTGGTTTGCCAAGTGTGAATTTTTGTGCGATTTGTAAATTGTTTTTAGTGCAAAATGTTTCAGTTGTAAGGTTTGTTGGTTGTATTTCTTCAAACAACAATGTTAATTCAATTTTCATAAAAATGCAGTGCAAAGAGATTTAACCCTTTCTTGGTCAGATTTTTTTCTAATTTCTGACCCCCAAAAGGCATTATTTTTATTGCTGAAAATTAATATTTGTTCTATTTTAAATTCGAAAATGCAAAATATTTTTGGCAGTAAGCAGTTTTTGATAGACCTACAGGTGGTCAAATATATGATATCCTGCCCATTGATCACCAGTTTTTCCTGCAGTGAACTAAAGTTTTAAATTTAAAAAAATACAGTGTGATACTATATTTATTAACTCTATTGTTTTGATGTGTTTAATATAAATATCTACATAAAAATAATTATTAAAAATTACACAAAAAAATGCTTTAGAAAATGGATTTCCAACCTTACCATTAAAACAGTTTTACAACCAACCTGAGCATAAAAGCTACATTTATGACAAAAACAAAATAATTTATTTAATTAAAAAGAATATTCTTTTGTTTACTTTATCCAAAAAAAATGGATATAAATATAAATATCTTTAATTTTTTTTAGTTGAAATTCTAACCGATATAATGGAGATATTCAATAACAGATATTCAAGGCCGAAAATCTCACTGCAAAAATTGTGAAGAAACTAAGACAAGTCATGTTAACTCTTAGCTGTATTCAGAACTAGAAAAATAATTCCAAAATTTAAAGTGACAAATGAGTAGCGACAAATTCAGTTTCAATGATATGGAATGTTTCACTTCAGCGCACGGCATGCGACACTGACCTTACGAGCACAGAAACGCCGAATGTGGGAGATGTGACGCCGACCAAGAAGGGGTTAAAAATAAAACTCAAATGCTTTGACAAAAGCAAATTATTTATATGAAAATAAATATTTAGAAAGTATTGGATATATGTTAAATTATAAAGCCATAAATATTCCAGCTAAATCTACTATGGCTGAAATTTACTTTCAACTAAAAGGAATTTAAAATTTTTCTTTTGAGTATTGAAATAAAGGAAACGTGTGAAAGAAAGAAAAATAAATACATTTATGAATAGTGTGTGTTGATTAAACATTAACTTCTTAATTTCTCTTTTATTCTATGTTTATATTTATTTATTTATATTCATAAGCCTTGTCATTGCTACTAGAACATTTGCTTTTAGCTTTTATGGTTGTAAATAAAAGTTTTTATGTGGGGATATAGAGCAGCTGTTAATGTCCGTAATTTTGCATGAGGTAGTCTTTGCCTAAAATGCAGTTAGCAGGATAATAATGTTATCACATTCTATTATATGAAACATTATTATCATGTCCCTTTTTATTTTGCATAGCTTTTATGTCTGTTAAAAAAGTTTACTAAAAAGTCATGCCACATTCATGAACTTTCAATACTTTTATCTTTTGATACTGTGTATCTAAAAAATATATGTGATATCATCCAGAATATTGTAGTTCAGTTTTACTAAAACAATTGTACTAATGTGTAATTGTGTAAATATACTCATGCGTTAAACATCCTATTGGTTAAACATGTTGGCTAAGTCTCCCTTTGGTTGAATGTCTGTGCTAGCTGAATGTTCTGTTGACTAGGTGTTTTGTCGGTGAAGTGTAACGGATGCTGCATTCTGATATATCTTCTTTAAAGGTTTTTTTTTTCTCCATTTCAAATAAAATTACTGTACAAGCATGTTTTGCAAATTGTGTGAACATATGAATATATGATATAATGATAATTTATGAGAATTAATGAAATGGATAAAAATAATTTTCAGTGAATGAAGGAGAATTATCCTTTATGTTTTTTAAATGTCTTAATGTTGTTTCTTATGTCTTTTTTAATATCTTAATGTATATTAATTGGAAATTTATGGTTTAAAACAATTTTTAAATTTTAATTTGAAGAAAATTATGTAGCGTTTTAAAAAAAATGCAAAATTGTTCCCTTTTAACATTTAGTTCTATGTAAAACAGTACGTTTTTGCCTTTTGTTCATAAACACTGTTGGATTTTTCTTTAATGAAAAAAGAGGAACTATTTTGGGTTTCCTTCCCACACCCCTTTGCACTGAAAAATCAAAATGATAAGATGGAGTAAAAAGGGGGAAAAAATTATCCCTAATATTCGAACTGCATGTAATTTGAAAACATTTTAAGAGTAGAATTAAATTGATGTAATCTGCAGAAAGATTATGTTTAAATGTTGCTGTAATTATTTTCATTTCTATTGAACTGTAACATCATTTTAATTTAATTAATTCTGTACCCAATTAATTCATTTTCAAATTAATTATGACAGTAAATTTCACACTGATGGAGAATTCAAAGTGCGTTTGAAGTTCACTTTTACTAATGGATTAAAATTTATAATTATTAGAAGTTATTACAGTCTCGTACAGAAATAAAGTCTTATTCAGTCTCATAAACAGAAATGTTAAAAAACATTTTTTTTTTTGTGTAAATATTCGTTCTTCCAAATTGCATATTTCTTCAAAAGTCAAATAAAAAATTCAAATATCTTTTAAAATGGATAAATAACACATTTTTTAATAACCCAAATTTTGATATATGTATATTTTAGAAAACTGTTTTATGTATAATCAGAAATGTAATTTTTAAAATTTAAAATCAAATTTTATATATTTTATTTTGTGTGTTTTATAATTTACAGTATTGTTTGTTATTTTCAAGGCATGCCGTATGGAATCAGGTAGATGAGGACGATTGCCAGACAGCTACAAGTGTGGGCAAATCTTTAGGATCCAAAATTAGGCAAACAAATGCTAGAGAAACTAGGAGAAAGCCTCCTGTAAGTGAACAGTCTGCAAATGTTAATCATAATTCATCATATCGTAATTGTAATAGGCTTAACCAAAGACACAAAAATAAAATGCAGTCAGATTTGGCTCACGAAAAGAACGTTAGAATTCCTAGAGGACAAAATGAACCCAGACTACAAAATAATGAAAGGAATGGTTCTAGAAATCAGAATCATTTTGGTTTTACTTTGATGCGTGAATTAGGGAATAAGCCTGCTAATGAAATAATATGCATTATTATTAACAGAACTAAAGAATTTACTTCACTTCTGGAACAAAAGCGAAGTCGGGATATGATGGCCTATGTACTTATAGCATTAGGAAAAGCTTGTTCTTCGTCAATGCGAGCTAATGTCTCTAGAATAATAAACATGGTTGCTAGTATCAAGAATTTTTTGTTAACTGACCTTCAGCAGTATTTAATATCATTTCATAAGCACCCATCTGAACAATTTCATATAGATTCTTTAGCTAGTGTGGTAGAATTTTTGCAAAAATATCAACAGTCCTTTTCTGCCTCTGCATCAGATATTTTATTGATTCTAATGCCTTTGTTAAAATCCACATGTGAAAATTATTTGAGAAACAATGAAGAATATTACAGAACAGTTCTTCACAAACTTGATGAAATAGAAAAGGAAAATCAGTATTTTTTAAGCAAGTACAGTCCTGAAGAAATAAAAAAATCATCACAAAATGAGAAGTTACAGTTAGATAAGCCACCAGAAGAGTATCGAAGTATTCCTGTTTTCCCAACTGATGAGGATGTTCTTCAAGAATGTACTTTTCTGCGCCCGAATGTAATAGAGGGCCGCTATCAAGATACTGAACATTATCTAGATGTGCAGTATCGTCTGCTTAGAGAAGATTATATGAAACCTTTACGAGATGGTATTACAGAGTATTTAAGGTTAAAACGAAATCGTAAATCATTGAAAAATTGCAAAGGTGTTAGAATATACCAAAATGTTCATATCATAAAACAAGATTTTGTAAATGGTGGCTTAGTACATATTGCTGAATTTGATATTGACATGTTTCGTAATATTAAATGGGAGTCTAGTAAACGCTTCTTAACTGGATCGCTTTTGTGTTTATCTTCAGATGATTTTAAGACGATGCTTTTTGCCTCAGTTGCTTATAGAATACCCGAAGAATTAAAGAAGGGGCATTTACTTTTGCGCTTTGAGACAACTACTGATGAAGTATTAAATTTGACTCCTTTAAGAAATTTTGTTGTGATTGAAACTGATGCCTACTTTGAAGCATATCGTCATAATCTTAGTGCTTTACAGGAGCTAAATGAAGAGAAGCTACCAATGAAGCGATATATTGTTGATGTAGAAAAGGATGTCCAAAGTCCTCAATATTTAAATAGAGCAACTACTTATGATATGAGACCATTGTTTATGCCTTTAAGTGAGGCATGTATTGAATATGTTTCTCATCTTAACAGAAAAGATGAGACAAGATATACATTTCCAATGAATATAGCTCAAAAAGCAAATGAAATTCCTGTACTGGATGATAGTGCATGGCCTAGTTTTGATGATTTAGGTCTAGATATTTCCCAGTATAGAGCTTTGAAAGCTGCAATCACAAAAGAATTTGCTGTTATTCAAGGTCCTCCTGGTACAGGTAAAACATTTATTGGATTGCGAATTGCCCAGTTACTTTTACATAACCTAAAAAAATGGAATTTTGATGAAAAGCAGTGTCCAATATTGATTGTTTGTTATACAAATCATGCACTTGACCAATTTTTAGAGGGTTTATTATTTTTTACTCGAAGTATTGTGAGGGTTGGAGGGCGTGGGGCCAATACTGCTGTTGCAAGCTATCAGTTAAGCAATTTGAGAATGCTTACTAAAGAGAAAAGAAATGTGCCTTATTATTTATATGGAAGTGTACGTCAAAAACGTTTAGAGCTACAACTGCTAAAAGATGAAATTGATAAAATCAGGAAATTTATTGACCGTTCAGTTTCATCAGTGTTAGGAGAAAATATTTTGCGAAATAATATGCCAGATTATCATTTTTATTCCCTAAAACGAAATTCTTATCATTTAGTAGATGATGGTTTTCTTGTTAAAGATTGGTTAGGTATCAGAGTCCAAACAGCTGAACAGGCTTCTAATACTGAGTTGCTTGCTGATGGAAACAGAAGTAATTTGAACGATATTGCTCCTGATGATACTGATGTTCATTATACCGAAGAAACTAATGAAGAACAAAGTGAAGAAGAGGCTGATATTGAGTTTATTGAATCTCAGCGTGACATTGATACAGATGAATTTGCAGATGTTTCTTTTCCATCAGTTGAAAATGAATATGAAGAAAAAACACAAATTGTTGTCGATATCGGCTTTCAGATGCAAGGAACCAAGAAGAAGTCAGCTAGATATATTTCCAAACTCTTGAAAAAAAGTGATACAATGAAAGAAACTGAAGCTCTTTATATAAAAGATGTGTGGCTTCTTGATAATAATCAAAGATGGCAATTATATAAATTTTGGCTTCAATGTTTCATTAAAGAAAAACAAGAAGAGTGCTTTCATTTGCAACAAGAATTGCGCATAAAATATCAAGAAATGTGTGAATTACGTACTGAAGAGGATTTACTTATCCTACAAAATGCTCATGTTGTTGGTATGACTACAACAGGTGCTGCTAAATACAGAAATCTACTTCAGCGACTTAACCCTAAAATAATCATTGTTGAAGAAGCTGCAGAAATCCTTGAAAGTCACATAGTAACATCATTAGCACCTGGAACACAGCATGTGATATTAATTGGAGATCATCAGCAACTTCGACCAAGTCCTACTGTTCACAGGCTCGCAGTAAAATACCACCTTAATGTTTCTTTGTTTGAAAGAATGGTGCAAAATAGAATGGAATGTTTCAGACTGGCTATTCAGCATAGAATGAGACCCGAAATTGCAGATTTATTAGTACCACATATTTATTCTGATCTAAAAAATCATGAATCTGTATCTAAATTTGAAAATATTAAGGGTGTGAGCAAGAACATTTTTTTTATTACTCATAGCTTCAATGAATTGCAGGAATATGATTCAAAAAGTAAAGTAAATGAGCATGAAGCAAGATTTTTGATAAAGTTGTGTAAATATCTTGTTTTACAAGGCTATAATCCATCTCAATTAACTGTTCTTACAACTTACAGTGGACAGTATTTTGTTTTAAAAAGACTAGCTGCTGGAAGTTTAATCCAGCAAGTAAGATTTACTGTTGTAGATAACTTTCAAGGTGAAGAGAATGACATTATACTCATATCGTTTGTAAGAAGTAATGAAGAGGGAGAAATTGGATTTTTAAAAGTTTCTAATCGTGTTTGTGTTGCTCTTTCTAGAGCCAGGAAAGGTCTATATTGTATAGGAAACTTTGAATTACTTGCTGAAAGAAGTGACTTGTGGAAAGCTATTGTAAGTACTTTGGAAAAGAAACAAGCAGTTGGAACTTCACTTCAACTTATGTGTCAGAATCATCCTGGAGTATCAACTGTTGTTTCGAGTGAAAAAGATTTTGATGCTGTTCCCGAAGGTGGTTGCACTCGCAGTTGTGAATTTCGACTCTCGTGTGGACATGTATGCTCTCTGATGTGTCATCCATATGATATGTTGCACGAATCGATTCGATGCGTTAAACCGTGCCGTAAAACATGCGATAAAGGACATCAGTGCAATAAGAAGTGTTATGAAGATTGTGGTTTGTGTATGATAAAAGTTGACAAAATATTGCCATTATGTGGTCATGCAATCAAGGTTAGATGTTATCAACAGAGTGATACAGATTTAATGTGCACAGAAATGTGTGAAAAATTTCTTTTTTGTGGCCATAAGTGTACAAATAAATGCAGTTCAGAGTGCAATACAAAATGCAAGCAAAATGTGTCAGTTATTTCTCCAAATTGTGGTCATAAGGTTACACTAGAATGTTTTAATTCTAATAACATGGAAAGTTTACTGCAAAAGTGCTCTGAACCTTGTAGAGTTGAATTAGCCTGTGGGCATATGTGCCGTGGAACTTGTGGTACATGTCATCAGGGGCGTTTACATATTCTTTGTAATCAGCGTTGTAAACGTATTTTAGTTTGTGGGCATGAGTGTAATGCATTGTGTTCCAAGAGTTGTCCTCCTTGTAAACGACCATGTGAAAATCGATGCATTCATAGTAAATGCCCGAAGAAATGTGGGGAACCTTGTCAGAAATGCTCTGAACCATGTGAGTGGGCATGTGCACATAAAAAATGTCAGAATTTGTGTGGAGAGTTTTGTGATCGTTTGCCTTGCGATGTGCCCTGTTCTGAAACTTTACAATGTGGACACCAATGCATCGGACTTTGCGGCGAACCTTGTCTGTCCGTCTGCAGAGAATGCGATAAAGAACAAGTTCAAGAAATTTTTTTTGGATGCGAAGATGAGCCTGATGCAAGGTTTATATGTTTAGAAGATTGCAAACACTTTTTTGAAGTTGAAAATATTACTTTGTGGATGAAAAATAAAGAAGAAGGTGAAATACAAATGAAAGTATGCCCTAAATGCAAAACTGTGATAAGGAAAAATCTGCGATTTGGAAATATTGTGAAATCATGTCTTGCTGATATTGAAAAAGTTAAGGAAGTGACCTACGGGAATAAAGAAAGAAATTTAATGAAGAAAAGTGATTTGCTTTCTTCTGTTTTGAAAAGTAACGAAACATTAAAGAAAATATGCAAACCGTTAATTAGTGTTTTGATGTCGAGTAAAAGCAGAAGTGTACAGGAACTTACAACTATGGAAAATGTTATTAGTATTGTATCCGGTTTAGTGGAAGTAACAAAACTAATGTACAGTTTCTCCTACGATAGTCCTAACAGCGATCTGGAAGTACGGGATTCCATAAAGTTGTTAGTATCGTATGTTAACTTAACTATGAAATGGATAACTGAATTTATTCAAGATGAGTTTTTAACTGCTTCTGAACAACAGTTGCAGATGCTTGTTTGGGAGGCTCATCGTTTAAAATTAATAGATACAGTGCTGAAATTTGCTCATCATAGAGTAATTAAAGCCAATGTATATTTCAAAAATATTGCAAAGATTCTTCTCGAATACAGGGCATTCAGTGATGATGATGTGAAGAATTTCACTGTCAATTTTAAAAAGTTAGCTGAACTGCTAGACGAGTCTGTGATTAATGTGAGTGATTTTGAAAAGCAGTCTATTTTAAAAGCAATGGGCTTATCAAGAGGGCATTGGTACCAGTGCCCTAATGGCCATGTATATTGCATTACTGAATGTGGAGGTGCTATGGAAGTAAGCAGATGTAATGAATGTGGTGAAAGAATTGGCGGCAGCAGTCATGCTCTTTTGTCTTCTAATCGAGTTGCAACAGCAATGGATGGTGCTAGATACTCAGCATGGTCGGATGCAATGAATATGGAGAATTATCGTTTCTAAAACTTGTATACTACTATGTTATAAATAGGAATTCAGAATTAGATACCTCAATTTTAATAACTTTTTGTGGTGTGGATTCCATTATAAAATGTTCCAGTATGCAGAATCATTTTGTAAGGATACCCTTTTTTAAATAAAGTAGTACATTATTTGAATACTTAAAAACTTAACTGCATGTTGTATGAAAGGAAATAAGATTTTTTTTTTTCAGTAATTTGATTTGTTGATTGGTGTATTATTTAATGCTGTAGCTAAAATATTTTATTATAGATGATGGTTGTCTTGTTAAAGAGAAATATCTTGTTTATGATATAGTATTGAAAAATACTATATAATAAACAAATTATCTCATTTGTTTATTATATAATATTGAAAAGTTTGTTTTCTACTTAAGATGGAACCACTATGTTCTGTATATAGAACATTTGTATTAAAATAGCGTGTTTATTATTTACTTTGATTTTTGTTAATTTTGAGAATTAAAATTTACCAATTTGATATTAGTTTATTTGCTTTCATTTTTATTTTTATTTATTTTTTTTTCTTGGTTATTTTTAATGGAATTTTTAATTCCATTAAAAACAAATGTAAGAAATCTGATAATGGAATTAATACACAATCCTTAAAGATTATTCCTATTATTCCTATGCATAAACCTTAAAGATTTGAAGGAACATATTTAATTAATACTCCAAAAAAATAAATAAGCTCAGTTACAAATTTTGCACTTGGAATAATCACTTTGTTTGGGACTACATTTATAAGTGAATATCTTTTTTTCACAATTAAAAACTAATATTAAAAGAACCCGATTGACTGGCAAGTGTCGTGATGCAGATAATTTCAAGTAATTTACATACAAAGAATGTATTTTATTTATGAATCGAAGGAAAATTTAGTAAATAAGAGACTAAATCATTACTATTCATTCTAAAATTTTATCCCATTTGGTATTTTTTTTAGTTTAAATTTAAGTTAATTATTTAATGGTTAATTAAACACATTAGAATTATTTGCTGGAAATGTCAAATGTCAGTCAAGAATTTAATATTTAGTTAGCATCTTTGAATTTAGATTACAGATTGAAAATAAATACAAATTCAAAGTTTTTTTCATTTTGCTATTGTTGTTATTATTTATGTATATTTTGATAAATATTTCATAAATGAAACTTGGAATTTATTGAAAAGATATTTTTATTTTTTTAATAAAAATGTTAATTAAAAAAATCTGAGCCACAGTTGTTTTCAGATTGTGCATTTGGCCCGCATGCAATTTGAGATATTGCTGCTTTAAATCATTTCAGGGTACAAAGTTTCAATCTATTTTTTTCTCAGTCTTCGTGTTTCTTTTGATATACAGTATTCAGAAAAAGAAGGCTTTGAGAAATGCAGGAATAAAATTTTTTAATACGAAATAAATTTGAAATATGGACTGAGACATTAATAATGAAGAATAACTAAAACCAGTAGATCATAACTCTGGGCTTTGCTAGAAGGCTTCCATTATAAATGCTTTATATTTTTAAACTAAAGAATTTCATTTGTTTTTTTAATGTTCATTTGGAAATCCAATTTTCATGGCTTAAAGACTTCTGATTTTGGTTTGCAATCATGTGTTTTTAAATGTTCATTTAAAATCTAGTTTTTCTGTTTAAAGATTTTAGATTTTGATTGTATGGTGAATATAGATAATTCTTGCAAGTCATAGCATATTTTGTATTTCTTGCCATGTAAGGAAAATAATATCGTTATCTTGTGCTATCATTCTTTTTTGACAATTAGCTATGGCGAATAAAATGCTTATGAGAAGTTAAGGTTGTATAACCTATACTTTTCTGCACATATATATATACATTGGTGTTCGAAGCATTATTGTAAAAGTCATAAGATATAGAAGTGATACAAAGCTAACAGAAACTTATTAAAATTAATTTTTAAAATTACGTGCTATTGTTGTGCACTACAAAAGCTTACTATTGTGCACTATGCATGTTAATATTATCTAATTATCATGTTAAATATTTCGTAAACTTTAGAACCCATTTCAAACATAACTTAGCAACAATTAAATTTTTTCTGATGTTCCAAATTCTAAACTATGAAAACTTATTATTTTAATATTAAGACACGCACACTTTTATTTATGTCTTAATTAAAGTATCGATTCGTAACATACTCTCATCTTTGCTTTGAAAGAGTATTATGATTATTAAATTTTAATTAATTCAAAACACTAAAAAATTTTTAGAAGTTGAAGAAACTTATTTTTTAAGCATTTCAACCCAGTAACTTAAAAATTACAACCTACTAAAAATTCTAAATTAAAATATTTCAGAATTTCTTATAAATTCAGCTTGTCTGGCTTAAATACTTGTTGACCACTTCTGACCAGACTTGGGTAGGAAGGTAAATCAGTTTCTTTCTTAATTATTGCCTCTTTCTTTTCAACAATAGGTTCCATTTTTGGCTCATTTTTTACTAAGATATCTTTTTCAGAAGAAATACGTAACTGGTTTGATTCAATCTCTAAAGGATACAATTGTTGGAGTGGCCAAACTAATTCCTTAGGACCTACATGTAATTTAGCCACATGTTGCTCTCCATGTCTGCCATTGAAGAGTTCAGTCACTCAAGCCAATTTTTTTATGTTTCCTTTTTGTGTAATATTTTCTGGATTTCTCACTAGCTGAGATATTCTTTCCAAAATCTTTTTCTTGGACAATCTCTGATTTTTTTTTTTTTTTTTTCATATAATGAATTTGTCTTCTAAGATGATTGCTCTTTCTGTGTAAATCTGTTGTCTCTACCACACATATTTTTCTGTCGCTGTGAGGTCCGGTTCACATTGTTTGAGCGAGAAGGTATCCCTTGTACATGCTGGCATCTCTGGTACCTTCTATTACTTCGATTTTAGTGATATTATGCTTGTGTTTTATCGTATAGTGAGTGTCTGTGCTCTTATTTTGGCTATGGATGATAACGACTGTCCTGAAATTTCGAACTGTGAGTCCAACAATTCAGACTTGAACAATGATTATGATATGACTTCTACAGATAAGGATTTACTTGTTTAGAAAACTTATGATGAGATGGAGTTCATAAACGCTGTGGACTTCCTCAAGAACCCCATAGGTTTTGAAGATAAAATTAATGATTGGAATTGACAGTTGCCTTAAAGACAATCTTGACAAGGACACCAATATGCAGTGCGAGATGATGTGCACCCAGATCAAAGAAATGAATGCGCAACTTTATAACATTAAAGGTAAGTGTTAGTTTTCTAGGTCTCGTAAAAATCCACATTGTGTGAAACCATGTTAAAAAATTTTTAATGTTCTTAGTGCTGATAAAGTTATTTGTAATGAACCTGGTACCAATAAGGATAAGTTTAATAGTGATGTGCCCCTACTTAGTTGTAGTAAGGCTCCTGTTGTTATAAAGGTTAAAAATATCAAATATTCTGATATCCTAAAAAGTGGTACTATTAACATTGACAATGTGAAGTGTTGAATATCAGCATACGAAGATAATGTAATCCAATAAGTTAAATATATTTATTTACAGAAGTTTATGTACAGCAGTAAAAATAAAACACGTTTAGAACATCTTTTTCTTTTTGAATATATCTTAAAAGACTAGTTGCCAAATTTCAAAAGTTAAACATTACAATTTGGAGTGAAATAATAAGAGATTCTTAACAGTGAGCATGACTGTTGCTTAAAGCCAAAAAGCGTACAATACAATATTAATTTACCTTACCTTTATGATATCATAATTAATTGCATCAGGACCTGGACTAAACCTATATGTCTTCAAAAGGGCTCTTTTTGGCATGCATGCTAAAGTTAGTGTTATAAGATTTTCAGTTGGGAAGTAACTGCAGCTGCCAGTTATTGCAACAAAACTGTCAGCTATTATGTTTGCGCAGTTTCTTCTGTGTTCTTACCACTCGGCCATCTTTTTCCGAAATGGAGAATAAGTTCGTTATTAGACATTCAATTTGCTTTCTTTACTCTTTCCCACACTCACTTATTTTATCTAGAGGATGCAGTTGTTGACAAATAAGAAATCCAAGAATCCCTCTGGCTCTGTTTTTGCCCTCAACTCTGCAAGTATTTGCTTTGCCTTTTTTTAAAGAGATTATTAGGTTGGGTAATGTAGGGTATTGATGGAATTTTCTCGATGCTTTCCTTTACAGTCTTTGAGCCTCTTGGCAATGTTAGTTTCACCGTGGCTTTGGACGTTGTGACAATCTTCTCGATGACAGTGGAATTGAAAATTTAGCTGATGCAGTGGATGCTCAAGGAACTTAATTTTCTCTTATTTTGCTAGCTTTCATTTAAACATTTCTTTCACACTGCAAGATTTTAATTCTTATAATTATGCAAACATTTACTTTACTTCAATACATATATAACAGAACTTTTAACGTTTTCAATAAGAAAATCCACATGAAACATTTACAATACATAATTTAAAGAAAATTCAGTGTAGACTTTACATCATATGCACATACCTGTAAGTTGCTTTACAATTTTACCAATCTCCTCAACATAAGTCTCTTAGACTAAGACAGAATTTCTATTTCTAGACTAACTTAAAATCAGAACAAATAAATGCATATTTAAATTCAGAGCTTCTTGCTATTAAAAAACAACTGACATGACCTCACTTGAGGCAAAATTTAAATTAAATAGCAACTATTGTCGTTTTTGATATAAAACAGAAAATTGAATCTGCAAAGAAAAATAAATTTCACTTAACTTTTTTTTTGTAACTCTTCTATTTGTTTGAAGTTTCGTTACGAACACCTATCACGAAGGATAGCGTTTCGCCTGCCGCACTGTTTTCTGCTGAGTTTCACCCTCTGGTTGACATTTCCGTTTCCTCTTCTGCCCTCCTTCCCAGAATTTTCTGACTTTTCTACACCCTTGAAGATTTTATGGTTCCGATGGCCGTTTCGTAGTTAGAGGATATGGTCTCGAACATTAAGTATTCTCTGGATCTTAGGCGAAGAGATCGATGGAACTTAATAGAAACATCAATTAGAAATTGAATCTGCGAAGGAAAATAAATTTGACTTAACTTTCGGTTTTTTGGAACTTTACCATTTCTTTGGAGGTTCGTTACGAACACCTATCACGAAGGATAGCGGTTCGCTTGTCGCACTCTTCTCTGTAGCTGTGCTTCACTCTCTGGTTTATGTAACCGTTTCCTCTTCTGCGCTCCTTCCCGGAACTTTCTAACTTTTCTACGCCTTTGAAGATTTTATGGTTACACTGGTTGTTTTATAGTTTGGGGATATGGTCTCGAACTTGAAGTTTCCTCTGGAACATAGGGGAACGAGATCGATGGAACTTTCGCGGTTTCTTATGTGGTTCTGGAATTTCCTCCACTGGGCACGTCTTCCATAGAACCTTCGGTGCATGCCGGTCATTGCGCTTGGGAACAGGGGCGTTTTAATTTCTTTTCACACTAAGTGTGTGTTGGTAGTGCATAGG